GTCCGTGTACACGATAACTCGAGCAAAAATTGAGATATCTCAACGAAATTTGGTATGTAGGTTTCCATTAGTCNATTGAAATCGGACTAAAATTACGGCCGCTTTTCATATAACGGTAAATTTCTGAAATGCTTGAAACTGCAATATTTCGAAATTTAAGGACGCTAATTTACTCAAAACTGATACACCCCGGCTTACCATCTAGCGGTAGGGTTCGGAAAGGTGAAAACACATATATTTAATACTTGCGCCGGGTATTTAATGTTCGGCTGTGCCCGAACTTAGACTTTCTTACTTATTGTACTTATTGTTGATACAGTGAAAATAAACAACCAGCCCCTGAAGATGCTTGTGAGTTTAGCGAAACGTTGGGCAACAATAGTGGAATAACTTTGTTTTATTTGCACTAAAGGATGCAAGATCGGACAAGCCTATTAAAATATTAAAATTTAAAAAACATTAATACGAACCGATCGGAACCCAAAAATTACTTTTTTCTTTTGCTCCATCTTGTCAGATCTTGTGTAGTTGGATCATGATTTCTATAGGTGATAGTCATTTCTCTAGGTGAGGTCATTTCATAAAGTAATATCAAACTCAAATTTTTAGGCGGGCCAGTTTTTGAGCGAATTTCACGATTTTCGATGGCTCTAAAAATTCTTATTGGACTTTTTTTTGTGCGATGAATCTGAGTGTGACATTATTTTTGCGATCCGACAAATATTTAGTACAGCATTCATACAAAAAAACATCCAAAAATGACCGAAAACCGCCAAAAACATTGATTTTTGTATGAAAATGGGAAAAAATTGGTGGAAATGCATTCTATTTTTTATTTTACTTTTATGTTTTTGATAAAAAATACGTTTCTCAAAATTTTTTCGCAATAAGAAAAAATTTTTCGATTTTGAGCAAAAACTACAAAATTTTTTATGGTAATTACCAGGGTTCGGAAATATTCATATGGCCAATTCTACAGGAAAGTAAACTAGCCCGATTTTTTTCTTTCTTTCAAATATTGAACATATTAGTCATTATTGGTATTCACTATATCTGTCAGCTGCTTCTGACACTAATTCTTATCACGTCTAAGCATTTTGTATTTAATATTTTGCACCTTTTGTCGAAGGATTTTTCACGAACCTAAAAACAGTTTAAGATACTTCAACAAGGAAAAGGACAAAAATATAAGGTTTCCTTGATTTATTTTGGCCGATTAAGTTCTGAACGATAGAAACTAAATTAGTTTAACAGGATACGTTCCAAGTTAGCGAAAAAGTTGTTTAGAACTCCTATTAAGTCATAATGAAATGTACCGCAAATGTTAAGTGTAACGTAGCCAGTAAAAAACTAAAAAAGTTGATTTTTGGACAATTAAGTACCCTTTCCAAAAGGATATATAACATGTTTTCTTAGTATTGTCGATATCATACTGGTTCTATATGGAAAAAAAGAAATCATAGCTGACTTCGTTGCACAATTACCTAATAAATATGTGTAACGGGGCCAGTGCTTTTCTTTTAATTAAAAAATTTTTTTTTATTGACTTGATAACTATTCTCATTTCATTTTAACAATAAATAATAACACATATTTAAAAAAGTTTTTTCATGAACAATTACGTATTGACCATTATACTGCTAAATTTTAACAACTATTCTATTGAAATAAAGCGAAACTAACATTTGCAAAATATCCTTTGAAATCTTTATCTCTTAATATTTTGACTATATATTTGCCTATACTTCAATTAGATTTTTGGCAATATATAAATCTGATAAGTTATCTGCCCATTATACGTGATTGTGCTCATAGCACTACAATTTTATAGAATCTGATACAAGTCTAGACCAGACTATGAAAAGTTTATAAACCTATTTATTTTGTTAAAAATTGTTTATGTGAGAACTTTTCTATAGAACTGCGATAAATGCATTAACATCTCTTTTATCTAAGGTTAACAAAGTTGTGGAAACCACCGTATCTGATTTGAAATTGTCTTGGATGGCATTGGAAAAAAACAATGATTCAGAAGGGATTAAAAAGAAAACGCACAACATGGTACTTTAGATGAGATTTTGCATATTTTAAGTTAATAAACATAAGTGGTTTTTGTAGTAAAGTTAAATAAATATTATTTGCGACGATAATACGAAGATTCTCCTGTCAAACATTTTAGTGTAGGATTTTTGACCTAGTTAGAATTTTTAAGGATAATCGAGTTGTATTTTTTAATCCTGCAATAGAAGATCCCAATTTTAGCTCAAACAGTTGTTTATGATGACAGAATCAGAATGCGGAAAAAATGGATGGACAAAGCCTTTTGGTTAAACCTTGCCCAAGCGAACCGGACGTGTAATGTGGCCAGTATTTTGTGTAACGTTGCCAGTGCCCAAATTTTATGAGCAAAAATGGTTAAAAAACTAAAATTTACAACAATTGGGTATGCATTCATTGTAGATGAGATACTGAAAAACTAGCAGAAATTTCAAACTTTCTGGCACAACCCATAATTAAACTTCCAAATAGTGTAACGTAGCCAGTGCACATGTCTATAACTTTGAAACCCAAGGATTTATTAAAACCTTTCTTTTACAGATACATAGATTGGACCGTGCCTGATCATATCACCTAAACAGCCAAGTTGGTTTTGTGTTATTTTGTGGATAATTGATTTAGACTTTAGAAAAAATGTGTACGAATGTAACGTAGCCAGTCAAATAATCGGCCATATATGAACGTTCGCGTACATACCTTTATGATTTCATACGCGAACGTGAACGTATCAAATATTCCTTATTGCTTCTCGTTCTCTCCATATATTAGCAACCTTTTTTACACAAATATTTCACCGGTGCGTTCGTATAATGGCGGCCACAAACATGTAAATGTACCTGACTCCTAAGTACAAACGTTATTATTGCCAATATGCAATACGGACATCCATATATCGTGACTTAAGGGTGAAAAGGTGCCAAGTCCATTTTTAGAAATTTTTCAAGAGAGACGAAAAATCGATGTTGTTTCGTATTACCTGTCATCTGCGATATAATTTATGGCGTACTTGGACCAAGATTCCAGAAAAGTCTGCCAATGGGCTCGTACTAAACCATATTTTAGGCGGAAGTCTTCCCAACCGAAGTCTGTGTTCGCGAATGTCATCGTAGAAGGCAAATGAGGTCAGAATAAATATTATGTCGGACATTCAGGCAGCTTTAAAGGCCTTAGAGTCTTTTAAAATGGCATCAAGGCTTGTAAACTCTTGAACCACCTGCGATCCCACAATAGCGTCACGCATGAAGGGTTTGAAGGCAACAAAAGGGCTGACTGTCTCGCAAAGCGTGAAGCCCAAATGCGCTTGCATGGTCCCTAGCCTTTCTGTGGTACATCTAAAGGATACACTGCAGACCTACTTAGGAGCTAGCTGGGAATAGTCTCAAATTGCTGCCTACTGGCGGAAGTCAAAGGAATAAGACAATCAAAGATATGCATAACTATGCAGCAGGAACTCCAAAAGACACCTTGAACTTAGAACTCTTACTGGCTACCTGACAGCACACTGCAAGTTAACGTACAGTTTTAATTAAATGGGTCTTTTTGTGGAGACGGTAGGGTTTGTCGGCTGGTGAAAGAAACCCCAGAGTATATTATATGTGCCTGTCCACGAAGCATGAATCGTAGATTGATACACCTTGGAGAACGATTGCCTTCGCCATCTAAAATTTGGAACATGGCCTCATCCAAAGGTTGGAGTGATTACAATTTTGATTTAGCACAATATATCTTCTTAGGTCGCAGCGCGGGTTTCTTCGACGTAATAATAATATCGTCACTAGATACGAATAAAGAGCTCGGAAAAACTCTTTGGGGAGTTCTGGGGAATACTGTTGCACTCGAAAATATAGTTGACCGCGGGTCTTTCTTCGCTGTCAAAGAGGTTAACGCGGCTTTATTTGCCGTCACCTATGTTAAGAGTCTTTCTTCGCCGAAAGTTTTTTACGCCTCTTTTTTCGCTATCAACTTTTGAGCTCGCGTCTTTATTCGTATCTAGTGACGATACGTAGTATGTATGTGTAAAGAGACATATGTGCCCATGGATAAGTCTGTACAGTAAAATGAATCGTTATACGCAGTTAATTTGTTTTTATTAATCTAGTTGTGATTTAGTTTTACTAAATGTTATGTTAACTATGGTTCTAAAAAATTTGACATTGAAAACAAATATTAAAACTCAAAAAAATGTTTGGTAGGTTTTGGTTGGTTATGGTAGGAAAATTTGGTAGGAAAAAAAATTTTTCTCTGGCAACGCTGTTTGTAGCTATAAGTTGCACCGATACGTTCGCAAACGTTCACTGCTGTCGTTCTCGTTCATAAGTGAATGTAAATGCTGCGTCAAACATTCGCGAAAAGTTGGTGTGGCTAGACTATTCTATGCGAAGGCAATTACGTTAAATGCATAAGATTTGAACCGTTCATTCGATTTTCAAAACGGAAGTGTCAAATGAAAGGGGGCCTCTAGATGGCCAGTAAGGTTATATTTTATATATTTATAGTGTTGCCACCTGCTTATAAAATTATGATATTTCTAACGTTCGCCCAATTTTCAAATATTAGGGGTCAAACGAAGAGACTTGGCCAACAGATGGGAAAGTGGGGGTTATTTTTTAGAATAGGGTTGCCACCTTTTTATATGCCCTCGTTTTCAGCTTATTAAGTTAAGCGACATTTGGACTAGTTTTTACTATTTTTTCTTTTGTTTATTTTATGTTTATATTTTTTTTATAAAAATCTGACCAATTACATAACCAGCACCACATAAATCCACATTTCAAACTTTAAGAACTCCACCAAAAAATTTCAAAATTTTTTTTAGGTACACAGTTTTATTCTTCTTCTTATTTTGCGCTGTAACCGCCTAAGCGATTTTGGCCGAGCTCAGCAAAGCACACCAGTCGTTTCTCTTCTGTGCCAACTGACGTCCATTGGAAACACCAAGTGAAGCCAAGTCCTTCTCCAAATGATTTTTCCATCAAAGTGGGGGCCTCCTTCTTCCTCTGCTCCAACCAGCGGGTTCCGAGTTTAATACTTTTAGAGCTGGAGCGTCGGTGTCCATTCGAACGACATGGCCAAGCTCATACAGCTCATCGTTCCATCGTCTGCGATACTCGCCGTCGCCAACACGGAACGGCCCGTAAATCTTCCGCAAAATCTTTCTCTCGAATACTCCAAGAGCCGCGCCATCGGATGTTGTCATTGTCCATGCTTCTGCGCCATATACCAGCACGGGCATGATGAGTGACTTATAGAGTGTGGTTTTCATACGTCGAGAGAGGACTTTACTCCTGAATTGCCTACTCAGTCCAAGTAGCACTTGTTGGCAAGAGTCATTCTGCGTTGGATTTCCATGCTGACATTATTATCGGTGTTAATGCTGGTTCCCAAGAAAACGAAATTCTCTACTTTCTCGAAATTGTAACTGTCAACAGTGACGTGGGTGCCAAAGCGCGAATATGCTGACTGTTTGTTTGATGACAGGAGGTACTTCGTCTTACCCTCGTTTACCACCAGGCTCATTCGCTTTGCTTCCTTCTCCAACTTGGAAAAGGCAGAGCAGACTTCGCGGTTTTTGTTACCGATGATGCCGATATTATCGGCATAAGCCAGCAATTGCACGCTCTTGTAGTAAATTGTTCCCGAGCGGTTCAGTTCTGCAGATTTTATTATCTTCAACATCAGATTAAAGAAGTCACTTGAAAGGGAGTCGCCCTGTCTGAAACCCCATTTATTGGCGAACGGCTCGGAGAGGTTTTGCCAATTCTGACGGAGCTGGTGGTATTGCTCAACGTCATTTTACACAGCCGTATGAATTTTGAGGGGATGCCAAATTCAGACATAGCGGCGTATAGGCAACTCCTTTTAGTGCTGTCGAAAGCGGCTTTAAAGTCGACAAATAGGTGATGAGTGTCGATCCTTTTCTCGCGGGTCTTTTCCAAGATTTGACGTATTGTGAATACCTGGTCTATGGTGGATATGAGAGGTCTAAAGCCACACTGATAAGGCCCAATCAGTTCATTGTCGGTGCGCTTCAGTCTTTCACACAATACGCTCGATAAGACCTTGTAACCTACGCCTAGAAGGCTAATCCCGCGGTCGTTTACGCGAATGGCGGGGTCGCCTTTCTTGTGGGTTGGGCAGAGCACACTTAAATTCCAGTGGTCGGGCATGCGCTCATCTGACCATATTCTGCACAAGAGATGATGCATGCACGTTATCAACTCCTCGCCGCCGTACTTGAATAGCTCAGCTGGCAGACTCTCAGCTCCAGCAGCTTTGTTTTTTTTCAGCCGCGTTATTGCTATTCGTACCCCGCCATAGTCAGGCGGAGGAACATCGGCTCCGTCATCATCGACTGTGGGCTCGGGTTCTTCTTTTCCACAACTTTCCGTGCTGCTACCATTCAGTAGCGTGAAAAAGTGTTCCCTCCACAATTTTAGTACGTTCTGAACATCGGTGACTAGATCGCCATTGTTGTTCTTATAGGAGTACGCCCTGGTCTTTAAACCCTCCGTAAGTCGACTAACTCTCAGGTAAAATTTTCGGGCATCCATCCTGTCGGCCAGCATTTCAAGCTCTTCGCACTCACGCAGTTTTATAGCCCATTTATGTAAGTATGTGCATATGCGAATCAAAACCTTTATCTAAATTTGAGCTGGGCGATGAAATTACATGTATAATTAAGTGCGTCTTCGATTACAATTACTTTAATCCCAGTTTCAAAATAGTTTGAATTAGGATTGAAATAATCGTAAATCGAAGGAGTATTCGATTAAATTATATTAAGAAAAATTAGTTAGTAGCACATATCAATTTAAAATTACTTTTTTAACTGTGAATGTGTGAATTTTACTAATTTCTTAGCTAAAATCACTAGGCATAAGAATTTGTAGGCATGTAAGAAAAACACGCATTTTTCAGATAATTTTGAATTCGGTAACCTTAAGTTTACTTGAAAAATGTTAAACTCCGCTCCCTTCTTGCTCACTCTTTATATATTATCTTATAGTATCACGCAATCATGGGCGACCAAAGCACTCACGGTGTTACATGAAATACAACCTTAGAAACTTTACTAACTAATTGTTTATACCGACACATAAAGCGCTTTGACCCAGTTCGCTGTTATTCAATATTTCAATACGCTCTGATTTTCAAAAGTGTATTGATTCGAATTTGATTTCAAACCGGTTTTTTATTTCTCAAATCGGTTAGAACACTTAGAAGAAA